TAAAACATATACAGACCAACTTAATACGTACAAAGGCCGCCATAAATGCGGAATTCTTGTTACTTCCCTTTTGATGCTTGCTTGCGGCCACACATAGTGGAGGTGGACTGACCACCTCACCAGCTTTGCCATTTTTCTTAAGATTTCTATCAAAGATTACATTCTAGATTTTTTTTTTTTGAAGTTGCAGTTTTCGTTTGTGGAAATTCTTTTTGCATTGAGAAATTTTATGGTGTCTCTAGTGTCATGTTTCTTGTATAGTAATTCTTTAATATTGTATAGTAATTTAGTAACTTTTGTAATAATTACGTTATCACAGAAATTTACTAAAATTGCTATGAAATTTTAAACATTTACTTTGAGATATGGTATCTCCTAGGCACTATAGTATCACCTCAAGAAATTAGAGAAGAAATGGGACTATCTTAATTTTTGTTCTGATTATATCTCTCGGGTTTCGTCTTCTTGAACTTCACAACCTTCTGGTTGCTTTGCTTCTAATATTCAGTTACTGCCTTAACTTCAATGATTTTGAACATAAATGTGAAAATATAAAGTAAACTCTCTTTTCGTGCTAAGAAAAGTAAAAGACCTTAGCTGTATATGCTGAATTAGGATATTATATTTATAACTAGTTTTTTTCATTTCCCTTTTCCATTCTCTAATATATATATATATGTGTGTGTGTGTGTGTGTGTGTGTGATTTTTTTTTTTGTTATAGGCTTTAGGGTTGCAGGGTGGGCCATGGAGTACTTGCCAATATTAAAGACTACTTCTTTCTGTACTTTGTGCAATTGTGTCATTAGATGGAATAAAAACAAAAAGTATAGGGGGAAACAGTTGTAAGACCAAATTAGATAAAATGATGTATAGGAGGCTTTCTCAATTCGGTTCTGAGAAAAGACTCGTCCACCAAACTTATAATTCTCCATCCATGAACTAATAAAATATTATAAGTTGCTTTTAGTAGCACATGAAGTACTTGACATATTGTTCTATATGCAGAGACGTGTACCTTAATCTGTATTATATTATATAATCATTAAATAGTATTTATCACTACTGCCTAATTCCAGAATGCTGTTAGTGTCAAGTGTAATTTTCTTCTTGATCTTGCTAATTAGTGCTAATATAATGTCTTGATAACTGATGGATTACCTGTTTTGCTTGCTAATGGAACTCATGCCTTTGATTCAAAAACTTGTGAAAATCTCAACATATTATATTGTGTATATAATAGTTCTGATGGTTCTTGTCTAGTTACTGATCTTTTTTTTTTTTTGCGTGATGCAAAGGCTGTCATTAGGTGTGAGCTTTAATGGCCAAGAATATTATTGTACGGGTATTGGACTCTTTTAACTTTACTTAGTACCTTTAATATCTAGTTTAACTAAATTATTAGAGAATGCATTCATATTGCATATTAACCATGTTATGTACTCCATGAAAACAAGTCTACCGAAGATTTGGATTGAGTAATAATTTCTTTCAGCAGTGAAAGAATTGAGGCAGTGGAGTATAAGATTTGGGTGAGTAATAATTTCTTTAGTGGTGAAGGTATTGAGACAGTAGAGAGTATAATGTTGTTGTGATTGTAGTAGATGTCGGTAAACCTTGCAGCTGAAATGGCAAGTATTAGTATTTATGTGTACATAGGCATGGTGTACTGCCATTGATTGGAATCTAATGATTAGATTAGGTATACATCTCTATATATATATATTTTTTTATGTGTTAGGTTTTATGACTTCTCATGAAAGATTTGATATTCAAATTAATGTATTACCCCACACTCCCATTCTTAGTATCAATATAGTTTAGTAACAATTTTGGCACTATTACAGGACTGGTTAGGTTATAAGGAATTTCGTAGGGTTTAGTGTTAAGAGTAGACAGATATCAAATAAAGAGGTCCTAAATAAGGTAAGGTTATGTTTGGAATTAGGTCAAGAATCATATGAAATTTGTTTATAAATACCCACTTAATATAATTGGGAGAAAATATGCATCTTACTAGATTGATGAAAAACTTGAGATCTTATATTGAAGTTCATGTAGAATTAGAATGATGCTTTTCAAATTTCATCAAGTTAAATGGAATTTTAGATTGGGTTGCTCTAATTTTATGAGGAATTACTTCAACATTAGAGAAACTGACATGGGATTAAGTGTAGTATACATGAAAGCTTCACTGCAGCTAAACTTGAATTGTGTTGCACCAACAGGTTTCTGTTATTTTTTCACAACTTTTGATGAACATGTTTTTACCAGCTGATGGAAAAGCCTATGTCTTCTTCTAATTATGCATTGTTTTACTTTGCACGATTAAGCCATTTATGGCTTCACTGATAGATACACACACACACACACACATATATATATATGTATGCTTAACTATACAGTCTATACTAAAAGTCTTTTAAGCTAGAGTAAGAGATACTATAAATATTGTTTAAGAGTAGCATTTGAAGTAAATGAAAAATTTAGGAGGAATCTAATTATAGAATGATGAAATTCTTTATACGAGCTGAAAATTGAGTTCTTATGAATTCAACTGAAATTTGAAGTTGATAGAATCTGAAATATACATATTTGAAATTTTGGGTTTTTGAAATTTTTATGATACTTTGTTGCTTAATGTGATGATTTATATTAGTTGGGGATTGGATTGGTTTAAATTTTCTTTTCATATTCATTTTTGGTAATTTACCAAATTGCTTTGATGGATTAAGGCATGTATGAATTTCTTTAAGAAGATCGATCAGCTTTTTGTTGGTTGTGGTTGTTGATACATTTTAAAGCATGCAGAGATATTATATATATATATAGAAACTGAGAATGATAGATAGAAGAATATGGAGTGTATATACAATATACACTTTAATGTATTTGTATTTGGAGCTGTAATTTTTTAGAAAGAGAGAAAAAGAAAAACCACACCGCTTGACCAAATGACATCTTAAAGAAGATTTATCCTTGAGATGATGAAATTCTTTTTTCATGTGAAAACTTTTTTGTCAGTACTGAACGTCTGTATGTATATACGTCTGTCTGTATGTCTGTATGTATGTATGTATGTATGTATGTATGTATGTATGTATGTATGTAATGTTGTTGAAAGTTGAATTTCTTTTATGTTAGCCAACGCAACAGTACCTGGAGGAGGAGAAAGCAATCATTCAAGCAAGGGAGACAAATGTTTTCATCTTCTGTTTTTCTTTTCTTTTTGCAAATGTAATGGAGACCTCAGACAAAACACAAGTCCCAACATAAATCAGATCGACAGCATATTCCAAAACATAATCTACTTAAGCAGTATATATATACACACTACATACACATATATACACACACACACACACGACACACACGTGTATATATAGATGTACTGAAATATGTTTGCTGTATTGGGTTTAAGAAAACGGGTAAGTTGGTAAGATTCTGTAAATATGATTGGTATATTAAAATTTATTTTTATAATTTATAATATATATATATATATATTTAAATCATTAAAAAAATTAGAGTTTTAAGTCGTTGCATTGACTTCTTAATTATACGATACATGTATGTATATATAATTAGTTTATTTTATATATACGTGTATATATATATATATATATGTAAATATGTCAGTTTTTGAGTGCTATGAAAAATGTGGTTGCACCATTCCTAATCCCACTACGATATATACACTCACACGTGAAAGCCCGGGGGCAACACATCAGAACCGTTAATTTTCAATTAATCTCATCATCTCAGAGGGACCCAACTCTCCATTTTCATGATTCAGAAAATCAGATGGACCTGCACAGATTAATTTGTTCTTAACTAAAGATACCTTTTTATAATCTTAACATATACATATATATATATATATATATTTATATAGACACCGGTCTTTCCACATATGCAATATTTAGATCATGTCCATGGCCATGAGTGGTCTCAAAATTGCCACCTTTTTCTTTTTTGTTTTTTTGGTTTTCCTTCATGTCTGATGATCACCTCGTCTCATGACAAGGAGGTTCCACCTCAAATCTTGAATCCAATGTATATTATTATACAGTATAAGACATCATTTAAACCTTGATTGCAACACCTACATATACATTCATGTACATATATATATATATATATGTCTGTATTTGCGTATGTCATATTTATTTTCTTGAAAAGAATATATATACGCAGGTGGGAGAGAGAAAAATCTACCATTTTATCTTTCTTAATTCTCTCTCTGTGTGAAGATAAAAAAGAAGAATATACATTGAAGTTTGGCAAGCTATACATGCAACAAATACATACAAAGAGACATACATAAATACATACATATATATATATATATATATATTCTGGTAGTGCTATGGAGATATCATTTTCTTCCTGCAAGTTTTATGCAGAAGAGGAGACATACGTCTATCAAAAACCTTATCGCCTGATCTTTTCTGTGATCTAATTTTAAACCCATCTCTCCTTTCAACCCACCTGTTCAGACAACATATGGATTTCCATTGCACACGTGTGTATTACACAGACGTTTTTTAGTCATATAATCACTCCAGTATATTCTTCACACGTGTGAAAAACTTCTGAAGGGAATCTTAGAGGAAGAAAACAGTACTACAACAGGTTTTTATGACTACTGAACAAAAGTTTTGGGACGTTTATCTGTAAATTTTTACGGTACTAGAAATGAACAATCTCGTCAAGAGAAAAACCAAGATGATGAAACGCCTGATTATGTATGTGTATATATGTATATACCCTTTGAGGAGTCTTCCTGTAGTAACCCTGAAAATAATGGATCTAAAGCTATATAATTAATGTTGTGAAACTATAACACCATCCTGCTTCAGAAATTTAAGAAAGCCAAGAACATACGTACATGATCATTTAGAATTTTCATTTACATAATATATATATATAATAATTAATCATGTACTAAAATCTGGAACAGGGTTTTTCATATATATATATATATATGTATAGATGTAAGTAGGTAACAAAGGGGTGATGTCGGCCGGGTGTGCTTTCATAAAAATCGCCTCATTTGCAGAACAAATTAAAGCATTTTGCAGCTTAGAAAGAAAGAAATTAAATTAATCTCTCAAAACATTCTCTTTTTTTAATGATAGAATTTTTATGTAGTTATTACAGATGAAGATCCAAACTCACATGGTCTTGCACGCTTTGCTTTGGCTCATACACGTACCGGCTCTGCGAGCTCGACCCACCAATGATCTGTACCGGCGGTTTAAGCTGACGATGATGATCAAAATCGCCGGCAAACAACTGATGAGAGGAAGAAAGGTCACGATTAAAGCTGGAGTTAGACGTACTACTTTGAACGGCAGCCGGGATCCGCCACATCCCTAAAGGGCTACCATTGATGGGTGTCTGTGTAAAGGATCCATGGCTAGTAGCGCCATAAAACCTAGCAGCACCGCCATTGATGTTAGTGTTCCATGGTGGGTAAGTACTAACTGCACCCGGCGACGGAGTTGAGCCTATCCTGTAGTTCATGAGGCCGTAGATATGGTGAGCGTCAGAGAAAGAGCTGTTCACCATGGCGGTCTGAAGATTCTGGCGCTTGGCATGCTGACGCTCTCTCTTGTGGGCGTTTTGGTGACCCCCCAAGGCCTGGGAAGTGGGGAAGTTTCTGAAGCAGTAATGGCACTCGAATCTCCTACTGTTATCTCCACTTTCAGCCTCCTTTAGGTTCTCCTGATGTGCGTTGTTATTCTCCGGCCGGTCTGAATCTTCGGCCGGGACCTCGTCTGCGCCAAACTCTATGCCGAAAAGGCGAATACCCTTTTCTTTAACGGGGTTTGGACGGATGAAGGGAAGCTGAGAGAAAGATTCCACGTTCATGAAGTCGTGGGTTTCTTGTTCAGAAGAGGATGTGTTCTTACCCATGGCGATTGGTGGGAGTTAAGATGGAGGAAGAAGAAGAAGAAGAAGAAGAAGAAGAAGAAGAAGAAGAAGAAGAAGAAGAGGATTCGGAGTTAAAAGAGGAAGGAGAAATGCATGTAAGAAGAAGTCCTGATCAGATGAGACTGCCTTTACATCCCACTTTGGCTCCTACAAGTACCATTTTTTCTTTTTACCTTTCATCTTCCCACACCCATCTTTATATCTCATATATATATATATATAATTTATAAAAACATTTTTACATAATTTAAATATAAATATAAATATAATCATCATAATATTTTCTTATTTTGTTTTATCCAAAAATAAAATAGAATAATTTTATCTGATTTTATATATTAATTTCATGATTATTTTACTCTTAGGGTTAATTAATTTATACCACATAAATTTTTAACCCGTTACCCATCCAAAAATATACCATTCAATAAAGCTGCAAGCACAGATAGTATCATGTGTTATAACTTACAAAAAGAAATATCGATGAAAGTACAACATCAATTTTAGTTACATGTTAGAAAAATTAATATACATATATATATATATACACACACACACATAATAATTAATTAATTATAAAGAAAAAAACTCAATAGTTATTTAACTAAATATATATCTTTTTTTTTATTAAAAAAATTATGAATTCAATTCTGTGTATTTTCTTATTTCGAAATTATTTATATTGTGTTATAATCGATTTATATATATCAATTAAATAGTTAATAATTATAGTATATAATAATGTATTTAGAGAAATAAATTTAATGGGTTTCGTTGTCAAGTAATTTTCAAGATATAAATGTAAAGAGTTTATTTTCATGGTTGTCATACACAGTATGTATGAGTCTCGGATCCCACATGTTGGGTTTTTAAGTACTTGTTTGGATGTGAACAATTATATAACAAAGTCATGTTATTATCAATTTCACAAGCAGCCACAAACCTTACAATTATATAATTACATATATGTGACCGAACACGTATATATTGTGCAGAGAACCATAACATCAAACATATATATATGTATGTACGTACGTAAGTATATGTAATCATCATCACCATCATGTGTGGATTGTTTACGTCCCCAAACGTTCCTTTATCTTTTTTTTTTTTTTATGCAATTTTGATTTGATTTGATTTCATTCTCAAACCACATACACCAAATTTTGTATTCACAATTATTATATATATATATATATATATATATATATATATCTACATCTACATATACATATATATATATATATATATATATATATTTACCTTTGAATTTTAATTCGATTCAATCTGAATTTTTGTACATTCTGAGTTTGGGTTTGAATTCAAATATGTCTTATTGTCATAATCTGATGTTTATTACAATTAAATAAAAACAAACATCAAATTTATTACTAAGTTTTAATATGATATATGTATATATATATATATATATATATATATATACATTATTTAATTTACCCAAAAATAAATACAACCTTAAATCACAAGTTATATAATTAATTTTTTTATTAAAAAAAATATTATATCCTATTTTTTTAACCTAAATGTGATTATAATAGTTTCGAGATTAATTTTTAATTTTATTAAATTAATTATAATATATTTATAAAATAATGAGTTTTATATTTTTTAATTAAATTTAAAATTTATTTTTTAATAGTAATTTAGTTTTGCATGTAGCTTACGTGGATCCACCAGCCAACGCCCACGTAACCGGTACGTAGTTAACTTTTAATATCCGTACGCGCGGGGGGGTAACTTTTATTTACTAAGATTAAAAAAATTAATTATTTTTTTTTACCGGAAATATTAAAAAGATAAAAATACGAATTTTCTCTCTCCAGGACCAGGAGTGCTAATTAGTTGGTGTTGGTTCTTTATAGCTGTTGGCTGTTTTATATCTGCTGCAGGATTCTGAATAAATAAATAAATAAATAAATAAATACATGTGGTCCTGCAAAGTAAATAAAAATAAAAATTTCAAAAAATTAATTTAGAAATTAACCCAGAAAAAAATATATTTATTTATCTGTGGTAACAAAGTGCTGTAATTTTTTTTTTAATTTCAGAGAAATTAAATTAATTATAATTTATTTTAATTTTATTTACATTTATGTCGAATTTGTAGAAAAATAAAATTGGGTCACACGGTACTTCTTTATTTCTACTATTAGAGGTTATATAATAATTTATATTTCGTAAAAATCTGTGGAAAAAAATTAAAAATTAAAAATTAAAAATTAGGAATTATACAAATGATATATGTATGTATATGTATATGTGTATATATTAATTAATTTTATTTTTTTATTTTTGGAAAATATGCTGTGCAGAAAAGAGTGTGCTTTATTTATTTGTGCATGCTTGACTCGTTTTGCAATTATTCTCTCAGCCCCAACTGCCCTGCCTTTGCCCATCTAAAGACAAGTCGCTTTCTTCTTTCAATTCTCCCCCCTCATAATTTCTCGGGCTTCTGTTTATACTTACACCTATACATACACCTATACATACACGTATACGTATACTGGGTTTCATTATATTTTTATTTTTTTTGTTCTGGGCTGCAGAAGCCTCATTTACACATTGTTTAGTTTTGGATTTAATGCAACTACTCTCTTTTGAACCCATTCCCTACACTTTGTGGGCCCTTCCTCTTCCTCCTTCCCATATTCCCATAACATCCAAAATTTTTGGATAAGTTACATTTTATTTTTCTCATTTCAATATATATATATATATATACACACACACACATACATATACATGTACATATACATTATTAAGAAAACCAATACTAAATATACATGCAATCCCACAAAATAAATAAAAAAATATACATTAGATTTAACGTGATTCGATAAATATATCTCCGTTCATTAAGAAAAAATTTTTCGAGAGTACATCAATAATAGAGTTGTAAATTTCTATATACACAAAGTATTAGAGTTTTTTTTTTAAAAAATATTTTTAGAATATTCTTAGTGATATACATACGACATATATATATATATATATACAAAATGTGAAGCTACATCAATATGTATATATATATAATATAAATATGTGTACTTAGATGGTTGTAAATTGTTCATGCATTGTTTGCCATTGAAGTCATGATCACAGAGGTTGAGGACTTGGCCGGTTGAGAGGGGACCATGTTATTTTGTTGTTCAGAATTCAATTCTTCAAATGTAAACTGCACCACACCCTTAATTACCCAAACACATACACATATACATATATGTCTATACGTGTGTGTGTGTGTGTGTGTGTGTATGTATATCTATTTATATACACACACCCCATTTAAAAGGGCATAAAATTATCTGATGTGAACCCTAATATACTTGCTGTTTCCTCTACTTCTTCATCTCTCAACATCGTATGCCACGTTTTGTCCTCTCTGATAATTTATATTGTATATACATGTATCTATATATACGTATGCTAACCTTTTGCAATTTGATATGTATATATGTACTTATAATGTGTTATTTTGGTTGATTTTAATTAAGATATATGGGTAAGTTAATTATAAAAATATCCCTTTAGACAAAATATGAATGTATATGTTATATTTAAACCAAAAACCAATATTAAAGTATATATTCTTATATATATATATATATATTAAAATAGAGAGTGCATATATTCATTAATTAAATAATATATATATACATAAATCATTAAATATATGGAAGAGAATAATTCAATTTAAACTCAAAATTTTTTATAGAATAAAAAATGTATCAACTATTAAATTAAATGTTGATGAACATTCAACTAGATGAACGAACTGTGTCCAAACCTGTAATGAAAGGGAGACCAAAATGTGATGTTTTGTTAAATCAAATAAGAACAATACTATGGTGCGAGCATGTTGTACAAGTACCAATATTTACGAGGTGTAAATACTTCATATTCTTTAGAACCTTCATTCAAACGGCTAACTACGAAACCCTAAATAGGGTTTTGCTTTTTAGTGATAGTTCGGCTTCGACTATTTCTGATGAATTTGAAGTATTTTCTCATCACTTCTTCTGATTTTCTTGTTAGATCTTGATTGTTACCAATATTATATATCAAACTACCAATTTATTATACTAAAATATGGTTTGTATATATCCTTGTATTATAACTCTTTAAAATCAATTAATAAATTGTAATAATGTTGTTGTAAAAAAATGATGAATAATGATGATAATGATGATAATAATAATAATAAAGATATATATATATATGTATGTATATAGGAGGAAGAGGGGTGAGAAGGAACAGTGCAAATTGTGGGATAAGAATGGACGGCTGGGATGGTTGACAGGTGGGGTATAAATAGGATGAAAAAAAGAAAAAAAAAAGAAAAAGGGAAAAATAGGAAGAGAAGAGAGGAGATTGCCGAGAGAAGATTCAAGAGAGAGAGAGAGAGAGAGAAGAAAGAGACGAGAAGAGAGGAGTCGGTCGAGGACAGGAGAAGGAGCTGGAGAAGGAGGAGACGAGTTAGATGACAGAGTGAGTTGTAGCAGTGTGGAGGACGATGGAGACGAGAAGTATGGTAAATTTGAATTTCAAATATATGAATGGTAAATTTGTAATGTAAATTCAATCTTGCAAACATTGAAACAACATTTGGCATTTAAATTTCTATTGTGTTGTCGAGACAGTATAAAGAATTAGAGGAGGAAATAGGTGCTTGAAGGAATAGGAGAGCGAAAGAAGGATTTCGGTTACGGGAATGTCTAATTAGGGCTGTGAGTGAAAAAGAGTAGGGGAATCCGTGGGAGGAGAACTAAATAGGTACGGGAAAGGTGAGTCGAGAGAGAGCGATATACGTACGGGAGAGTGAAATATAGACGAACACTATAAGGGGAAGAAAATAAGAGATGCGAGCATTAGGCAAAAAGAGAGAGTGTGTGTGTGCTTTAAACGATCATCTGGAAAGGGAGAGATAGGAAAACATATCGAAATCGGATTGTATGAGGGGAAGTGAGATGCATAGAGGGTCTAGAGGGGGTTTTGTCATGTGAAGAGAGATAGAAGGGAGAGAGAGATGGAATGGAATGCAGGGAACGTGTTTTGGATGGAAGTGTGCGGGGTTACAGGGTGATTGAGGGTGATCAGGAGAAAAGTGCAGTGAGTTGAGAGAGACAAATGTGAGAAGAGGAAGAAACAGAGAGTAGGGGA